TTTTGGAGATTCCAGTCCAAAACCAGACCTTCTGAGGGCAGTTCCTGATGCCAATGAGGAAGAGCATATGGTAGAGCTGCCTGCTTACCTCAGGTCTAGAAAGTAAAAGAATGGGGAGAAGGGGCTGGGGTCCTACTGATCTCTTCAGGAACACACTCCCAGTGACCTCAGGACCTTCTACAAGGCCTACTTTCAAAAGGTCCCACCACCTCCCAGTAGCATCACCCTGGAGACTCAGCCTGCAACATATGGGTCTTCAGAGAACATTCGCTCTTCAAGCAAGGGCTGGGGTGGTCTCACCACTAGACGGAATCTATCTGCCACTCATTCATTCTTTTTTTGAGATGGTCACTGTGTGATTTAAACTTCCCTTAAACTCACTGTGTAGTCCAAGCTGGGCTCAAACTCATTGCAATCTTTCTGCCTCAGCCTCTTTATTGGGAATATAGGCAACATTGCCCAGCTTGTACTCTGCATTTCTTTTTTTCTTTCTTTTTTTTTTTTTTTTTTTTTTTTTTTTTTTGGTGGATCTGGGGTTTGAACTCAGGCCCTCACACTTGCCAGGGAAGTGCTTATTCTACCGAGCCATCTCCCTGGACCCTCTGCATTTCTAAGTGGCGTTGGAACAGTGACTTTCAAGCAGTTTTGCCTCTCAGGGGGCTTGTAGCAATATTAGAATTTGGGAAGGCTGGCGGGGGAAGGATGGTTGTGGTACCACTGTCTATGTACAGGTGGAGGCTGAGATGCTACCCAACATCCCACAAGGAGCAGAACAAAGAAGTATTGAAAGCAAAATGCCACTGGTGCCAAGGTTGTGACATCTGCTGTAGAGTAGTAAATCTTAATCTTTTGGGGGATCACCAGCACCTTCAACCTCTGCCGGAAATAATGTTGCGTACACAGTTAGTGGATGAGATTCTGGGAGGGTGACTAATGCTGTCTGCGTTCATGCCTGCATGTGATCGCAGGAAGGCTCAGGAGTCAGCCAGAGCACCCTGTGAACCTCATGGTTCATTGGTGGGGCAACTGCTGGGGTCATCCAGAAGGTTTTTAGATAGCAGGCCCTTCCCTCCACCTTCTTTCAGTGCTCAGAACCCTGCTGCGCCTGCACAAAGAACTCCTTGTCGTGAGTAATGATTTACAGTTTATAGCAGAATTTCCCTCACAGTATCTTATTTGCTCCTTTTCCTCCTTCACAGGTAAAAGCAGCCAGAGGACTTGCTCGACTTGTCCAAGGTCTGCTTGGCAAGCCCCAGCCCCTGCCCCGGGGTGGGTGGATGGTGATGGTGTAGTTCTCTCATGCGGTGAAGGTAATTCTTATGCTTCACTAGCAAAAGCTCCTGTCTGTCATTACCTCGGCAGTTAGAGGTTGGGCTTGGGGCACCTTGAGAGGCTCCTGAGAGTACTTAATACTCTGTGGCTCTTGGACCTCTGCCAAGCCCTTTATGACCACCAGCAGGATAGCAGTGCCAAGCAGCAGTCTTCCTGCCTCACTCATCCCTTTTGTGACTTGACTATATTCAGGGAAGAGAGGATGAGAGGATGATGTGCCGAGATCTTGGAGAATACTTTGTGTGTGTGTGTGTGTGTGTGTGTGTGTGTGTGTGTGTGCGCACGCGTGCTTATGTGTGCATGTGCGCATGCCTATATGTGTGATGCCAGGAATTGAACTCAGAACCTTTGCACTCAGAACTAGCACTTAAAAAAATTAATTTTCTAATTTTTGAGATAGTCTAAGTCACTAAGTTACCCAGGTTGAGCTCAAAGTTATAGTTCTCGTGTCTCAGCCCCCCAGAGTGCTTGCTGGGGTTATAGGTGTACAGCCATTGTCCACCATGCATGGATTTTTGAGATTCTTGAACACCTCATTTATATCCACCTGATCTGAAAATATTCTGTTCACTCAACAAGTCTTTGTTAGGAAATAAAACTTTCCATATAGATACAGTGTCTATATGCTAAGGACTTTGCGTAACCTATTGCTAGATAACAAGTCAGATATTACAGCTTATGTGTAAGAGAATCCAAGGAAGGTTCCAGAAAACTATAGCACAGGAATATTGAAATTGTTGGGGGTGGGGTGGGAATGGGGGCTGGAATCAAACCCAGGACCTCACACTGGCTTGCCAGGCAGGTACCATGCTATGCTGCTGAGCTATATCTCAAGCCCAAGAATATTGAAATTAATGTGCAAGCGGGGGCAAAACTGATTCACAGTAGGAGAATTTATCTACATATTTGTATTTATTTACATGGAAAGAGAACATTTACTCATACATGTGAACAGGTTTTTGTTCATCTATAATTTATACAGTTATAAAAATAACTCAAAGTTAATGAAAGAATGGAATCAGATAACCTAGAAGGATGTGTTCCAAAGAGTGCATGGTTTTACCCTGAAGCACATATTTTCCATTTGGCTGAATCATCAAAGACACACCTGTAATCCCAGCGCTCAGCAGGCTGAGGCTGGACGATTGTGAGTTACAGCAAGCTCCTGTCCACTGTCTCTCCCAACATTGCCACATATGTTGCCCAGGTGCCAGTAAGAGCCTAAGGCTGAGATAAGTACTGTAGTTAAAAGTGGACCAGCAGGCAAAGAGAGGGTAGCAGCCCACCAAAGTGTTAGGATCCATCCCCCACCAGGTTATAATGAACATCCTCATCCTGTGTGAAGACAGAACTTCAAGCCAGCACCAAGAGCGCCAGTGCTCTGGGAGGCAGAGACAGGAGGATCACAAGTTAGAGTGTGTCAGAAGATGTTTGAAAAAGTGATGCTGAGGCCTAGTGTGAAAGCCCTGGTTTCTAGCCCCAGCATGGGGGTGGGGTATATGTAGGCTGGGGATGGGGCAGCCAAGCACTGAGGAAACCATGGTTTCTTGAACCCTTTTTCTCTCAGAAGTGTGGAAGATTTATTCCTCAGGTTCAAATGGAAAGCCTCCTCAGTTTGAAAATAATTATGAACTTATATTTCTAATTACAAAATAAGGCATACATGTTGTGAAAGTATTTTGAGGGGTTTTTGGTTTTGTTTTTAAGGAAATCTTCCTATGAGTTTTACTACCTTTCAGGTACTTCCTCTCCTTGCTATTGCTGAACTTTAGGATTAGCACCCCCAGCCCCAACCTTAAAGCAAGTTATGTCATGTTGACCTATTCTTCAGAACGATTTCCAGGTTATTTTCTTTTGAAAAGTATTTTTGTAGGGCCGGCCAAATAGCTCAGCGGATTAAAGCACCTGCAAGCAGATGCAGGGGTCCAGAGGTTTGATCCCCAGGCCTGCCACGCCGACCCCACCCCCCAGGGTGCACTGAGACAGCAATTGAGACTGGGCGTGGTGGCACGCGCCTGTAATCCCAGCTCTTGGGAGGCTGTAAGCAGGTGAATCACTGTTAGCCTGATCTAGTAGTGAGACCCTGAACAGCCTGTAGCCCCTTCCCTGAAATACAGAAAAAAAAAAAAAAAAGAAAGAAAGAAAGGTATTTTTTCGACCTAGCCAAATAAATCTCCCTATTACACAGCTTCAGAGCATCATAGCCTCTCTTCATAGTTAGGATTTCAAAGAGAGATCGTTTAGCATAGGGTTTATTTTTGAGACAGGGTCTCAAACTCAAGCTGATCCCTCTGCCTCTAACTCCCAAGTGCTGGGATTACAGGTGTGCGCCACCATGCGCGCCTGGCCAAGGAGTCCATTTTTGAATTTCATCCTATTCTTGGGACTTAGTATGCTATAAACAGTGGAGTGGTGTGGAGTGGTGTGGAGATGGCTGTCCCGTGGTAGGCCTGTACCGCGGACACTACCAGGAGTTAGCATGCTACGGAGCAGTATACAGTATGCCAGTGAGAAGCTCCCTGAGGTGCAGTGAGTGGTGGGGGGAATAGTGTAAGGTTATATAAAAGTACTGATTTTTCTTTCTCTTTTGCGAGAATATGAAACAAGAACTTGAAGTAGACGCTACTTGCAGTGGTTGTTAGTGTTTACCTGATAAAACTGTGGAGGGTGCAGAAGGGTTTTCCTTGGGAGTGAAGGAAATGGTTTTGGGGGTGGTAGTCCAAGAAAAGCCTTATTTGTATTTCTAAAAATCTGCTTTGTAATTTACTGCAGTAAGATTCACCAATTTTAACTGTATACTTTGATTAACTTGAAAGATATATTCAGTAGCCACCATCACAATCAAATCAAATGTCTCTGGGCTGGCAAGATAGCTCATCGGTCTGAAGCACTTGCTTAGTAAGCTTAGGCAAAGCGCAGGGACCATGGTGTGATCTGTGGCACCACATGCCACGCCCGCCACACCCACCACACCCCCAGGGTAGGTAGGCTGAGCCGGCTGGCCACACACACACACACACACACACACATCATAAATGTTTCTGTTACTCCTGATGTTCCTTTATGCTCCTTTGTCGTCAGCTTCCCTTCACTGCTAGGTCCAGGTCACCACTGATCTGCTGTCACTATAGTTTCTCTCTCCTAAGATTGCATTTATGTTTTTTTTGATCTTTTATTTATTTGGTACAGGGTCTTGTTACACAGCTCAGACTTGTAGTGATCCTCCTGTCTCAACTTCCCCAGCTCTGGGATTGCAGGCGTGCTCCACCACGCTTTGTTTCAGTGGCCGACTTGGCACGGGGCTGGCATGACATGTGGTACCAGACATCAAACCTGGGTCCTTGAGCTTGTCAGGCAGTGTGGTTAGACCACAGAGCTATCTCCCCAGCCCTCAAGATTTCATTTAAATGGAAACAGATGATGTGTAGTTTCTTTCTGTTTAGCTGTTTTTTCTTAGCATGATTTTGAGATTCATCTGCATTAATACATGTATCAGGATTTTTTAAATTGCTAAACACTATTCATTGATTAGATAGGGTTTTTTTTTTGTTTGTTTGTTTTGTGTTTTTTTTTTGAGACAGGGGCTTGCCATGCAGTCCAGACTGGCCTTGAACTCACTATGTAGCTCAGACTGGCTTCAAACTCATGATGATCCTCCTGCCTCAGCCTCCTGAACATTGGGATTACAGGTGTGTGCCACCATGTCCATCTTAGTTTTTAGTTACTGTAAATAAACCTACTATGAATGAGAGAGAGAGACAGAGATAGAGACAGAGACAGAGAGAAAAAGAGAAAGAGAGCGCTTAAGTCCAAAGGCAGACACTGAAAGTTTAAATGGTGGCTGTCCTTACTTGCCTGGCTCTGGATCACAGGAACCTGAGGCTGAGCCCTGGATTCCTCCTCTCTAAAATGAATACCAAGGGACTGGAGAGATGGCTCAGTGGTCTAAAGCACCTACTTGGAACAAGCTTGGCAAAGCACAGGGACCGCGGTTTGATCCCCCAGCACCACATGCCAGCCAGCTGCGCCCCCTGGTGGGCTGAGCTGCCCCCCCCACAATAAATAAATGTTAAAAAAAAATTTTTAAAAATAAAATGGATACCAATCTAATTGATGAGACTGTTTAAAAGATAAAATGAAATAATGCACTAAAAAAAGTGAAATAATAGGACCAGAGAGACAGCTCAACAGCATAAGCACCTGCCTGGCATGTGCAAGGTCCTGAGTTTGATCCTC